ATATAGCGTAAGCCCTAAAAAAAAACACATACTTTGTATCATCTGGAAGATTTTCTAACAATTCTTTCAGACTTTTTTTTTCCTTTGATTTTCCGTTTGAAACTTCCTCACTATCCAAAGAACTACTAACCTCACCATTATACGAGACTCTCCATAATCTTACATATTTATCTTGCGATGCGCTTGCTAATAATAAATCACCATCCTTTAATTTATATGGTTCTTGAATGGTTGAATCTGATGCAGATGGACTGTTTGATAAAGACGATTCAGTGTATGTAGCAAACGATAGAGATCTAATCCAATTTTCATGTCCTTGAAGTTTTAGAGATGGAATAAACTAAGATTAATAGTATGATTGACGTTGTGTATGTGGTTAGATGAACAGTAAACACATAATTACATGATAATTATTTACCAGCCCATCTTTTTGAACATATAATGATATCCTTTTATCGGTACTTCCACATGCCAATATTGGGACTAAATAAGAAGTCATTAATTTTAAATCATGATTTTAATTTAAAAGTTCATACCATTACAAATAACACCATTTTACTTACTTTTTGATTCTGGTAAATACGACAGGGCTAAGGCCATAGGATACTTTCTTTCCAAATCAATTGTTTGCAAGCATTTTACTGAATCTATCACAATTTTGTAATATACATTTAGCTGTGATATTTGTAGACAGAGAAATGAATTATATATTTACCTTGAACATCATCACAAATACTCCTTTCCCAAACTTTAACAACACCATCTGCAGATCCAGTTATGATTAGGTCTTTATCCACAATAATCGACTTTGCACGAGTTACTCCAAGGGTATTTACAGAGCCTCCATGAGATTCTAAAATTGCCGAATTTACCCACTAATAATTATAAGTGATTAATTCACACCCAACAATAGTTAATGCATATTGATACGAAATGAAGGAAACTAATTTACTTTATTGTCTTTAGTTAATTTCCAAACTCTGGCAGTTTTGTCAGTCGATCCAGATATTATTGCGATATTCCTCTGATTTAATTCATCTCCTATTGGCAAAATAGTATTAGTGATTGACAGAAAAAACGAAATCAAAACTAATTTGTCTTACCTCTATATATAAAATCAACACAAGTCACTCGATCTTTGTGTCCTGCAAGTGTAGAAATAATGCCACGGCATTCCGGATCCTAAACATACATATAAGTTGCACGTTTAAAGAAAAATTCATTATCACTAAGTTTCCTTCTTTGCTACTCTTACTTTCTCAAATCAACTACATATGTTTGACTTTTTCTAAGATATATTACCTCAGGATAATATAGAGCCACATAATTATAAGCTCCAAATGCAATTGTTCCATCCTTTCCCCAAGCTGCGACTTGTGGAAATCTGTTACATCCAATGCTTGTGTATTCATTTGACACCTTCGGTAACATTTTTTGACTTTGTGAAGTATTATTTATTTATTCGTGATCGATGAATTTGAATTGAATGTAATGTATAAAGGGAATGCGTAATTTAAAAAAACTTCTAACCCGAGCTCTTTCATATTATCATGGCACGATATTGTGAGAAAAGCACATGTATTTTTTCATATAAAAATGGCAAGGATGACATTAGTTATATTACTGCTAATTGATCCGAAGGTACAAAACGAAAATTTTAATATTTGCTATTC